TTCCTTCGTCCAGTTTCTAGTTTTAAGTATTCACTAAAAGAACCTATTTTTTCAACAGAAAAACCCCCACCGTTTATAAGTTCTGCTGTCAACGCGAAAACACTTTTTTTCGGTGGGGTCACCGGAAATGACGTCGCAATGGCTGAGTTGAAAATATTTTTCAAGCAAAAATTCAGAAAATGTTCTTTAAATATGTATCTTAAATTCTATAAAAAGTTTGAATAAGAATTCCATTTTTTATATAGAACAAAAAAATTGTTGAAAATATGCTATTTTTTCCCGGTGTAAACCCATGTAACCCCTTAAACGAATAAAAATCATAATAGTGCGTACTTTTGAAGAAATAATTTGAATACCACTGACGACAAAATAATGGCGCGTAAATTTAAATCCTCCTAACACTAACCCATCTAAATGAAATACGAATAATATATATAATATGAATTCGTACCATTAAGATTGATATAATTCAAACTAGCAGCAACTCCTCGTTTCCATCTTGGTACAGTCACGAAAATCCTGTTATCGGAAATATCCAAACCCAATGGAAGATTATCTTCCCGATTATAATCCGGAAATAATTTTTGTACGTCGTCGTTCGGCCAATCATATTCGATCTCTTTCCATTGATAGGCTACCCGTAGATTACCGATAGCATTGATTGGTTGAAACATCAATCGATCCCAAGAGAAGAAAAAACAGAGCAGGATGGTGATTGGTCGATAACTCTGCATTGTGAATACTGTCGACTAATCAGAATAACGAATACTTATTAGCGTTATATGGTGTAATATTTCATTGGTTAACCTCTTTTCTTCATTCCTCATTCGTACAAGAAGACCTTACGGTTGTGCCCTCAAGGATTTTAACGAGCTTTGATATATTAGTAGTATACTAGTAGGGTGTTATCGTGGTAAAGTATTTTATCAAAATGCGAAGCCAATTTTGCGAAAAAAGCTTCTAAAGTTTTGATTTGTTTGTATACATGTTTATATTATTTTAAATGCGATCATTTATCAAGTGGCACGCTAGCGTAAGTAGTAGCGTGCTCGCTTCTCGTGCTGCTAGTTAGTGGTTCGATCCTTCACCCGGGAAATTTTTTTCGATAATTTTTTTCTATTTGTTTTTATTTTGTTTTTTCATAATTCTTAATTTTTAAATATATACAGGAAAGAGAAAATTACTTATTACAAAAAAAATTAGAAATAATAAATTTTTTAACATCTTGCGCAAATAATAAAGAAAAATTTAATCCTTTAATTACAGTTAACATTTTATTTTTTAACAGGTATATTATACATGAAATTGTTAAACATTAGAATATATACGATTGTTATTTGTTAGTATATTGAAGATTTATCTATTTTTATACACCTGTTAACAAATAAAATAATAATCTCGTAATTCAAGTAATCAATTTTCCTTTATAATTTGTGCAAGTTGTCGAAAAATGTATTGTTTTGAATGTTTTTAAGATAACTATCAGTCTGGAACCTGCGTTTAATAAATATTAATAAATGTACAATAAATATGTTAAAACTCATGGATGGAAAAAAATTAGAAAAAAAAAACTTTCCCCATGAAGAATCGAACCCAAACTAGCAGCACGAGAAACGAGAACGCTACTACATAAGCTAGCGCATCAATTGATGATCAGTTGTATTTAAAATAGTATAAATATGTATACAACAAAAATCAAAACTTTAGAAACTTTTTTCTCAAAATTGGCTTCGCGTTAAGATGAAATATTTTACAACGATAACACCCTACTAGTATACTACTAATATACCAAAGCTCGTTAAAATCCATGAGAGCACAACCGTAAGGTCTCCTTGTTAAACTGATACTCTCTGTCTCTTTTTGCTACAAATAATGCGACTAATTATTATTAGGTTATTGCGGTCAAACGTGGGTTTAATTGAGTATGCATGTTATAACGTGTGATAATACAAGTTACAAGGTTCCTGAAATTTGTAAACATTACTAAATTATATATGTGTCCTTTTTAGAATACACACATATAATTGAATCGTTTATTTGAAAAAATGGCGCAATTTACTTTTTTCAATAAAAATCAAATCCGATGATAAGATTAATTACATTTTAACTAGACTCGTTTGTTTCAAACAAATTTTTAATAGATATGTTTAGAAAAGTAAAAGAAATCGATTAATTAAGTGTCCGAGAAAAGAAATACGAGTTAAAAAAAATGTTCTCGCAAATTTGCACGATTGTTTGAAAATCCATTGAAATGCAAATATCTCGATTTAATAAGAAAACGAGACTTATGTGCTCGTTTAAAAATAAACGGCTCAATTATATTATGTTAACTAACAGAAAATATATTACAAATTGATAAATTTGTTGTTTTATTCCTAATTTCTCTATCCTTATATATATATAT